GGAAATGGGAGGCTGGGAGGAGGTGGAAACTTGTTTTTTTGTTTTCTCCTTTTCTCAATAAAAAAAGAAAAAAAAGAAAAGGATAGAGAAAAATTTGCCTTCACAGTGCCTACTTTTAATAATTCTCAGCCTAATAGGAGATATCAATGGACTATCCTCCCACAGGATATGCTCAATAGTCCTACATTGTGCCAATATTTTTTAAGTCATTGGAAATGATTCATAAATAATTCCCCAAGTCCATAATTTATCATTACATGGATGACATCTTGTTATCTGATTCAAATAAAGATACTTTAGAAAGGATGTTTGAAGAAGTAAAGAAAGTCTTGCCTAGGTGGGGATTACAAATTGCCCCTGAAAAGATTCAAAGAGGAAAATCTATTAATTACCTAGGTTACAGAATAGGGTTAGAGAAAATTAAAACGCAAAAGTCACAAATTAGGAGAGACCGGTTAAAGACTCTTAATGACTTCCAAAGATTGTTAGGAGACATTTCCAGTCTATGACCAGATGTTGGGATAACACCTGATCTAATAGTTCATTTAAACAAAACCTTAGATGGTGATAAAGATTTGAATAGTCCACGAAAACTGACAGCTGAAGCAGACAAGGAACTGACAATGATTGAGGAAAAATTACATGAGGCACATGTGGATAGGGTGAACCCAAATCTTAGCTGCATCCTAGTCATATTGCCTTCCAGAATTTCTCCTACAGGGATTCTAATGCAGAGGGAAGATATTATTTTAGAGTAGATATTTATACCTAATAAACCAAGTAAAAAATTAAAAAACTTATGTGGAAAAAGTCTCTGAATTAATTATAAAAGGTAAGCTGAGACTTCGTCAACTAGCAGGTATAGACCCAGCAGAAATTATAGTGCCTTTTACTACTGAAGAAATAAAAAAGTTATGGGGAGACAATGAACCGTGGCAAAGAGCTTGTGCTAATTTTTTTGGGAGAAATTAATAGCAACTATCCCAAAATTGGTAGACTTAAACTTTTAAAAAGAAATTCTTGGATTCTTCCTAGAATTGTACGTGATGCTCCAATAACTGGAGGCCAAACGTATACTGATGCAAATAAATCAGGGAAAGCAGGTTACAAGTCAGATGAATTGAGTAAGTTGGAACAAAGCCCTTAAAATTCTGTCCAGAAAGCAGAATTATATGCCATTCTTATGGTGCTAAGGGATTTTAAAGAACCTCTTAATATAGTTACAGATTCACAATGTGCAGAAAGAGTTATCTTGCATATTGAAACCGCTGAATTTATACCAGATGACACAGAGTTGACCTCATTGTTTATCCAGGTACAAGACATAATCAGGAACAGGCTTTGTCCGATGTACATAGCACACATCCGGTCCCATACAGGTCTGCCTGGTCCTCTAGCCCAAGGCAATGCTGAGATAGATCAATTATTGATTGGAAATGTGTTGCAGGCCTCAGAATTTCATAAGAAGCATCATGTCAATAGTAAAGGCCTAAAGAAAGATTTTTCCATTACTTGGCGACAAGCTAAGGACATTATAAAGAGATGTCCTACTTGTTCTTTCTATAATCAAACACCGTTGCCTGCAGGGAGTAACCCAAAGGGTACTAAGAGAAATGAAATCTGGCAGATGGATGTGTTCCACTTTATGGAATTTGGTAAATTAAAATATGTACACCACACCATAGACACGTATTCAGGTTTTCAATTGGCTACTGCCCTGAGCTCAGAAAAGGCTGATTCAGTAATCACACATTTATTGGAAGTTATGGCCATCATGGGTATACCTGCACAAATAAAGACAGATAATGGTCCAGCATATGTATCTAAGAAAATGAAACACTTTTTTGATTATTATAATATAAAACACATTACAGGTATACCAAATAATCCTACAGGTCAGGCAGTTATAGAAAGATCAAATCGTACTATAAAGGATATGCTGAGCAAAGAGAAAGAGACCAAAAATGCCCCCAGAAATAGATTACATAATGCTTTATTAACCTTGAATTTTCTTAACGCTAATGAGAAAGGAACGACAGCAGCAGAAAGACATTGGATAATGGAAAAGTCTGCTGAACTAAATTAACCGATTTATTTCAAAGATGTTCTGACCTCTCAATGGAAGCCAGGAGATGTGCTACGTTGGGGAAGGGGTTTTGCTCTTGTTTCCACAGGAGAAGAAAAATTGTGGATATCATCAAAATTAATAAAGTTTCGATCTGAAGAGGAGAAACCTCTTGGAAAAGAGAAATGACAACTCATCCACAATGATGATATTTGTACATGTGGTAAGAAAAACATATAGAATGGGAGCAGGTTTCTGTTCTTATCTCCACTGGAAAACACTCATCTTTGAAAAATTCAAGGGTCATGGATGTTTGGATACTGACAGATGGAAAAATACCTGCCCAATAGGAAATATCAAGAAAACTGAATGGGTTGTGTAAGTAATATATATTAAACCATATTTCTAAATTTATAAAGCTGGTTTTGAAGTTGGACTCTGGCTCAGTCCCTCTCTAATTTCAAGCCTGTTAGTAAGAGAAAAACCCAGAGTTTCTGGAGTTTCTGTCTCAGGTCAAGAGCCATGATATGGGACAGAAAGACATATGAGTTTAGAAAACATCTTTGCTTTTCTTCATATCTATCATACTTTTCATTGAATATATCTATCATGCCTTTCAGTGAATATATACATATATGTCTATATGATTAATGTTTAAGTTTTTCACAATGAACAATGAGTTTTTCCTGAAGTGACATTTGAAGTTTCCAGGCAGAAGATGGAGCCCTATAACAACAACTCCACCTGGTTGATATGATGCCATGATACTGATAACACTACTACAAGACCTGCTTTGGGTACCAGCTGCACAAGATGATCCCAACTTGGTTAGCTGAAATGGTGCACATCTTATACAACATTCTGGCCAGACCTGCACAAAATACTCAGAGACTACTGGCAATTTTAAAAGACAGTGATCTTTAAATTTAACCATCATTTTACTTTCACAGGATCCCCCAGAAAGAACGTCTCCCCCATGACAGCTGGAAGTAATTCTAGCGGATGACGTCCCCTCTCCCAGTAAAGTTTGCGCTTGGGTTTAGGGACATCATTTAGGGGTTGATTATAATTAGTATACGATTGAGGATTGGGGGAGGAATTTTATAAGCTCAGGGATCATTTTGAAAACAAAGAGAGGGATGATGGGATAATTGATTTGTAATTGTGAGTTACTGCTTTTAGACAAATATATTGGTATAGATTCTTGTATATTGATACAAAGTTAAATTATATTGACTATTGTGTGCATGCATGTTTCTACCTCTGTTTAAAACATTTTTATGTATTGACATATATTGTATTGATATATGATAGTATATATTTACCATATTGCAGGGTACATTTCTACCTCTGATAAAGATACTTATGTAATGTTTGTGTATTGATATATATTTACCTACTGCAATGTATATTTGTACGTTGTTTATATTTGGAGGTCATTGTCCTCATTTGTTTCACAGTCGTTTATTGTCTTAGTCTTTAAGTTAGATAGATATTGAGAATTATATAGACTAATAGTCATCTAATTTTGTCATTTATAATTAGACTAATCAAGTTCTTTAGATATATAGAGATTATACTCAGTATAGATAGATAATCTTCAACTTCTTCAAAGAGCTGTAGAAAATGGCCTTTAATCTAACTCAGAGTTTTGTGGTAGTGAGACAGAATTGCTCCTGGCAACACCACTCTATTCCCGAGAGAATGTTGAGCACCAAAGACACTCCACCTGGAGCCTTTCTTTTTGGCAGAACTGGCCTTGGGGCAAAGAAATGCCCATACCTCAACCACTGACAAAGATACATAGCATGCATCAATGGATAAAACAGGACTGTCATATCCTGCCAAGACAGGGTAAGATAGTTTTGAAAAGTTGCTTGCCTTTGAAAATGGTATGTCAGTTATGTTAGGCCTTAGCCAAAGTTGGTTGCTTCAACGCTGCTAATGTGATTTTGGGTGATTGCCCAGGGAGCTAGTTGTCTCTGTGATTTGTTGCATGTTTTGGAAGTTGTTTTACTGAACTTCCTAATTACCCAGGTAACATTATTTCCCTTCTCAGATCTTCGATGGGGTTGAAGACTATATAAATGTAGTTACTTTCTCTCATGACTTGGCCAAGTTATTTATTATACAAGACCTAAGCTAGTTAGAATAGGATATTTGTACTTATTGTATATAATTTCATAGTAGGTTTAGAACTCTCTTATTTAAACAAAAAGGGGAGGTGTTGTGGGAGGTCCTCCCACTCTTGCAGCCTATAGCTGCTGAGATACTAGCCCATTGGGGCGTGGCCTCTCTCTCTTTAAAAAAGCGGCCACTTCCCTCTCCTCTCTCTCTTCACTTCCTGCTCCGCCGGAGACTAGACTTTCTTCTTGGTTGCGCAGAGGGCTGACGGTGATCTGTAAGTTTTTTCCCCTTTAAATAAATACCACCCTATTAATCATAATTCCAAACTGGTGTGGCATTGTTTATGACTTATGCCTTCAAGGGTGGGATGCAGAAGCATCATGTAAGGCAGTGGTTTTCAATATCCCTAATGCTATGACCCTTTAATACAGTTCTTTGTGTTGTAGTGACCCCCTCACACAACCATAAAACTTATTTCCATGGCTACTTCATACCTGTAATTTTGCTACTGTTGCAAATCATAAGGTAAATATGTGTTTCCCAGTTGTCTTTGCAGATCCCCGTGAAAAGGTCGCTTGACCCTGAAGGGTCACGAAGCACAGGTTGAGAACCTCTGCTCTAGGGCTAGTGGATGAGAAGGGGCTGGGGTGGGGAAGACATTAACCTCCTCTTTCCATTTTTTGTTTCCAGGCTGTGGAGAGCTAGGCTGGTCTTTCTGAGTCCTAGCCTAGGCTCCTATCCCAACCTGACGTGCTTCTGGGGAAACTGTTTTCGGCCCCTAGTGTGAGCTTTGCTAAATTTTCAGATTATGGCGGTGGAGATGCTCCAGGACTGGTGCAGGTGGATGGGTGTCAGCGCTCGTAGAAACTTGCTTATCCTGGGCATCCTGGAGGACTGCAGTGAAGCTGAATTCCAAGGGTCCCTGCAGGCTGCCCTGTGGCCCATGGGCCACTTTACTGTACTTGGCAAAGTGTTTCGTGAGGAGGATAATGCCACTGCAGCCCTGGTTGAGCTCGACCAGGAAGTCAACTATGCTTTGGTCCCAAGGGAAATCCTAGGCAATGGGGGGCCCTGGAACGTGGTCTTGGTGCCCAGCTGCTCCAGCAAGGAGCTTCTTTATCGTGTTTTCCACTTCTTAGAGCAACAGGGGAAGACAGTGGACAGTGTACCTGGAGACCCAGGTCTGGAGCTGGACAGAGTGTGCAGGCTCCAGTCAGTCAGGCAATCCAGCCCTGGGTGGATACCTTGCGGTACCAGCGTTTGGGTATGTTTTCTGGGAGCGTTCAGCCAGCCCCCGGGGAGGAATCCTTTGAGGCTTGGCTAGACCACACCACTGACATGTTTCGGGTGTAGCAAATGGTCCCAGAAAGGGAGAAGAGGAGACGATTTCTGGAGGGCTTGCGGGGAACTGCTTTGTACCTTGTACAGGGGCTGTTAGCAGAGAATCCGGCAAAGACTGCAGAGGAGTGCCTAGAGGCTCTGACCCGAGTATTTGGAGACAATGAGTCTCAGGCCACCATCCGAATCAAGTGTCTGACTGCAAAACAGCAGCCAGATGAGCAGCTCTTTGCCTTTGTGTTGAGGCTAGAAGTCCTGCTGCAGAAAGCCATCCAGAAAGGGGCTCTCTAGAGAACCTCTACGGATGATTTGCGCCTGAGGCAGATGCTCACCAGGGCTAACCTGACTGAGCCTCTGGAGGAAGCTCTGAGGAGGCTAAGAATGATCAGGAGATCTCCATCTTTCCTGGAGTTGTTGGGCCTCAAACGGGAATCTGAGGAATGGGAGGCAAGACTAGCCAGCAACATGGTAGCCCAGGTGAAGGATGAAGCTGGCAATCTGGCTTCTGTCCAGGCTGATGGCAGAGCCAGTGCTAAGGCAGAAGATGAGGTGGAGGAGCAGGCAAAGGACGAGGTTGAGGAGGAGATAGAAGACCATAACCCAGACCACAGCCCTGTAGACCCAAGCCAGACAGGACCCTATGAGCCCCTGGGACTCCCACCCCAGCACAGATGGGCAGTAATCTTAGAGAGTGCCCAGGAGGGCCCGGCTGCGTGCTGGGCAGCCTTGCCTAGGCAGGAGAACATAAGGCAGAGGACCCCTTCCTGTACCAGCCTAGAAGTATTGCTGAAGGGTCAGCCCCAAAGTAAAGGAGCGGGCCTGCAGATATCTGCTATACCCCCTGGCCTGGGAGAGATTAGGGAGAAATAGTCTCTTATAAGGGTCCTGACTGCCTGGCTCTTCTACCCAGTTAGCATCTCCAGGCAGGTTTATGACACTGCCTTGGGAATCTCATCCTTATCTGTTCTACTCACAGTGATCCAGGTATTCAGTGAGTACACACTTTAATACTAGCTCTCCCATCCATCACACCCTAGCAAAGCATATCAGTCCCTGACTTACCCTGCTAGCCACTACCGTAGCCCAGCTTGTGTTGCAAACTTCCATGCCAGCCAAGGCCCTATTTGCTCTGCTCCTATCTCGTGTTGTGTATTCCTGGACAGCTTTCTTGATATACTTACAAGCCAGAAACTTGCTGCATGTTCCCTGCAGATGTGTGTGTGTTCTTACCTGAGAAGGTGCTCTACAGAGATAGCAAGACAAGCCCTTGGAACCAGCAAAAAAGTATGGGTGATGGCAATCAGCAACTGGCTGATGCTCATCTTGTGACTGATTACAATCTGGGGTGGGCACGAAGACCTGGACTAAGGATGGATGGGCTCGGAGAACCAAGATTCAATGTTCCACTCTTGTTGTTACTTTTGTTATTACTTGTGACAACAGTTCTTCAGTTTGGCAAGATGTTCCTTTCAGTGCTTTCCAGTGTCCAGAATAATTCAGGATCACCCTACAGTGGGTGATTCTTCTAGAGAGTTCCTCCAAAAGAAAGAACACTTCCAGATGCCATCATTCTGTAAAGAGGTGTATCAGGGGTCCCTGGGAAGGAAGAAGCTGAGGCAAGTAAGCCTCAGTATGGCCAGTAGATGAGATCCTTTCTAATGAATCACAGAGTAGGAAAAGGTGGGACCTGTGGCCTCTAACAACTGGGGGAAGTTCTGTGCTGTCATCCCCCCGCCTTCAATGACTTCAGTAAATGTATCTGTTCAATAAATTTCATGGATGTTACAGTTGCATCCTGCTTTTTCTTGGCTTGGACTGGACTGGAGCAAGATTGATTTATGTACAAGGCAAGAACATGGAGGGCTGTGGGGGTGGCAGGGGGGCTTGGATTGGTAAAAGCAGACTGACCATGTGTATGAGGGCAGTGGCTATCTGGTTTCAGTGGGGAGGGACTTAAGGATGACAAGAGTTAGGGATAAGTCAGTTATGTGCTCAAGTGAAGCTATGGAGCAGTAAGCAAGGCCCGTGGACCCAATATTCATGACTGATGAGTGTTTCAGTTAGGAAAGCGTTCTCACAGAGTTTAAATGCCGTTTTTGATTACTAAAATATAGGAAAAAGAAAACCCCAAAAAAATTCCATGGAGCCACAAATAGCCAAAACCCTCCCCTGAGACAGAAAACCAAAATTGGAGGCATTATATTTTCTGATTTCATAATATATTACACAGATATAATGATCAAAAGAGTATCACACATAGTGGAGCATGCTTTTAATCACAGAGTTGGGAGGCAGAGGCAGGAGATCTCTTGAGTTAAAGGCATAGCTGGTCTACATGGTGAATTCCAAGACAGCCAGGACTACATAGAATGACTCTGTCTCAAACAAACAAACAAAGTATGGCATTGGCATCAAGGTGTGTATCAATGGGATGGGGAAAACATATAAGAAACCAGTCCCCACACCCACAAAAAACTGGGGAAAGAATGGTCTTTTCAGCAAATAGCACTCAGAAAGCTATGCATCTATGTGTAGAAGTAAGAATTTTGACCCTCACTTTGTTCTTGGAGCACTTTTATTTATCACATCAAAACTTTAGACAGAAAAAGCATAAAAGATTTCCTCAAACGATAAATGTTATGCATAGCATAAGGAAATATTCAAACAAACAAAATCACCATCTTTGGATTGGGGGAAAACATTTGTGAATTATAAACTTCATGGGGGTTAATATCTCAAATATCAATGAATTAGCACAACTCAATAGCAAAAAGCAAGCAAACAAAAACTCCCAAATAATTTGATTAAAAAATGGACAAAAGAGCTCAATAGACAACAAGTATATGAAAATGTACTCAACATCACTAGTCAATAAGGAAAGGCAAAGCAAAACCACAATGTGAGACTTCCCCAGATGGGTTGAATGGCTACTATTAAAAACCACAACAGAGCCGGGTGGTGGTGGCACACGCCTTTAATTCCAGCACTCAGGAGGCAGAGGCAGGTGGATCTCTGTGAGTTCGAGGTCAGCCTGGTCTACAAGAGCTAGTGCCAGGACAGGAACCAAAAAGCTACAGAGAAACCCCCGTCTCGAAACCCCCCCCCAAAAAAAATAGCCAGCTTCCTGGTTTGTGCTGGTTGCACAAATGCCTCTGGCTCTTTTGGGAGGTCTGGCTATGGAACACTTAAATGGGGTTTGTGAACAGAGTGCTACAAATTGCTTAATGGCAACATAAACCCGCTGCATCCCTGGAGCTGGGGTAGAGAGCATGACTTGCAGAGGCAGTGAACATACCTCCACCATGTTGTATGGGGCAGAGCCAATGGGCAGATCCATGGAGTTGTTCCTAGCCATGCCCACTTAGCATTTTTTAAAAAAGGTACTCCTTGTCAAAAATGATTACAGCTATGCAATAAAGACAGACTCAGACAAAAGTGAACCTCTGAATGGGCCACAGCGTGTTTAACATCATACACAGGCTTGGGAAAGAGAGGGAAAAGAGTATAAATAGTTAAATAATATAAATAGTACATACAGACAGTCATAGATTTAAGGAGAAAAGATAATAAAATAAATATTAAAAACTAAGAGTAAAAAAGCCACATGAGGTTGGAAAATACACAGAGAGTCTGAATTATGTATACTATTGTGTTTTCTTTAAATTTTTTGACTGTGAATAAACTAACAACAGAGAGATATTTCATTGTATGGGCTACTAAGCTAAAACAACATATATATTTTAAAGGTATTTTGACCTCAAAATTTGAGTCTAAGGATATGTTACTTTGGAAAAGAGATTCTACATTTGTTCCCACAGAAGATGAGAACCTTAAGTTCCTTCCAGGCTAATGTAGTATGATGGAACATAGATCCCCTGAAAGGTCTCCACAAACCCTAAAAATACTTTGCCCAACAAACAGCAGGAAGCAGTTTGGAGAAAACAACTCCCAAATTCCCAAAATGATTGTTTATAAATGTTTGTTTTCATTCGAAGGGGGATATGATATAGAGATGAATATTTTGCATTGGTAGGGACCTTGGTCTGTTGATACAAATTTAAGGTCGACTTTGTTACAGTGTATATATGTATTTCTGCTCTTGTTTAAGGTATTGTGTTTGTGCAGTTCATTTAAAAAGTAATGTATAATTAAAAATTACAGATTATTAGGCATTTATAATAGTCAAACTGGTAGTCATGTTATTCAGGTTTTCTAGATATATAGAGATATAATTCAGTTAGATAGATAATCTTCAACACTTTAAAGACTACAGAATATGACATTTAAAATGTTTTAAGAACTTAGACTTTTCTCAATAGTGAGACACGTCTGCTTCTGGCAGCACCAATTGCTTCAGAGACATTGATAGGCATTGAAGAAACTCGTCATGGAATTTGCCTTCAATGTGACAAGGCTAACCATTTGGGCAAGAAACTGCTCTTGCCTGGACTGTTTGATGGGATGCTGTATGAACTGGACATGCAGGACTCATAGAAAAATGACTGCTGAACTTGACTAAAGAAGGTGAGACAGTCCTTCAGGGTTTCTGCTTCATGAAAGAGTCTGCCAGACATTCTATAGGGCACAGAATAAACCAACTGATGAACTTTGCCATTACAAGACAGAACAGATATTCAAATTTCTTGCTTCATGGAAAAGTCTGTACTATGGGCCTGTAGACTGAAGATGGATGCCCCAATGGTACAGAAGAACTTTGGGTGACTGTCCAGGCAGTGAGATATCTCTGTCAGCTCTAGAGTATTGCAAGTTGCTTACAATGCACTTCCTGTTCACTTATATCCTCCTGGGGTCTTTGCTGGAATTGAAGACAAATAGGAATATAGTTTTCCTTAATTATAATAAAAAATAAATTAGATATAAAACTTTAGCTTCACAAAGAAATAGTGTCACTTTAATTCTTGCTTGATACTTGTTATATGTAATTTTACTGTGTTAAAGTTAAAACTTTCTTTTTTGTTTAGATAGAAAAGGGGAGGTGATGTGGGATATCCTTGATATATGTTGCTTTTATTGGCTAATGAATAAAGCTGCTTTGGCCTATGACAGAGCAGAATATAGCCAGACTGGAAGAAATATCTAGAGAGAGAGTAGGCGGAGTCAGAGAGACACCAGATAGCTGCTAAAGAAGACAGATGCCATGTAGCTGCCTAAGAAGCAAGCAACTAACAAACCACTAGCCATGGGGTAAAATATAAAATAACAGAAATGGGTTAATTTAAGATATAAGAGATAAATAAGAATACACGTAAGCTATTGGCCAAACAGTGTTG